ATCTTAGTTGAAAAAAAGTAAAAACCAAACAAATTACTTAAGTAATAGGCATTTTTCTCAGTTCCATCTTATATCAGATCTCGAGGAGTAAATAGGGAAATATTCTATTTGTGCATAAAGTGGATGATGTAACAGAAGGAAACGTTTCCGACCCCAAAAAGTATATATATTCTTGATCAGCATCAATAGCCGAGTCGATGTAGCCATGCCATATATATATATATATAAACGTTACAAACATCCGTTATTCCCATTCCGGAGAGAATGGCATCATCTATCAGATCGCCGAATTATGATTAGATTGAATAATTATTATAGCCAGAAGGAAAAAATTAATATTTAGAGGCCACCTCCACCCCGTCCAGCAGCTTTGCTTATTTTTTGCACATTCTTTCTTTCTTTCTACACTCTGCTTCGGGATGTGTGCGGCTCTTGGGGAGGGGGCGTAGATGTAGATGAATTATGTAAAAAAAATGTACAGATGTACATATGTACTTCTGAGTACCGGATATAAAAGGTGTGACGCGTAAGAAGCGGTTTACACGTACCTTCTCGTTTGAATTGTGGGAGCGATCACCTTTCACTTTGCCAACGACGAATGATGCAGCATGAGCATAAAAATTGAAAAAAAATAAAGACTAAAAATGCTGTGCACAACACAAAGAAACCGGTTAACAACTGTATATATATATATATAAATATATATATATATATATTATATTATATATTTATATATATATATAACTATATATACAAATGTATGTGTTTATGTACACATGTATGTACATATTTATGTAAATTCCTACATATATACGATACATAATGATTGTCTCACACTCCAGCACACTGGCACACGTACATACTTCTGCCTTTTTTTAAATGTGAAAGGTTTTCGCTTGCTGCACCATTATTTAATCAATCCAATTTGTGGAGCATGCAAAAAAATAAGCAAAACCGAAAGAGGTATGGCAAAACCGTCAATCTCAGAGCCAAAAGGAGATAGGGTGAAATGCCAAGAGAAAGAGTGATGAAACGAAAAGAAACGAGAAGGGACGTGTGAGACGCTTCTTACGCGTCACAACTTTTATACCCTGCACTCAGTACTACATCTGCACCTTAGCGGTGTTTTGTAAAATTTTAAATTTTTTCTTCATCTGTCATCTACATCTACAACACTTCTCACATCAACACGCTCCTTTAGCTTGCCGGGCTTCCCTAGACCCACACACTGCAGACTCGCGGCAGAGGCAGAGTGTGAATCAGAGAACGTGAAAAAAACAAATATAAGCTGTATGCTGTATAAGCAAATGTAGCTTTTGTAGGTGTTCGCCCTTTTGCGAGGGCGGAAGGGGGCTCATTTTTGAAATGCACTGGTTTCAGTGTGAGCATACAGAAATCTGTATGCAAAATTTGGTGGCTCTAGCTCTTATAGTCTCTGAGAACTAGCCGACAAACAAGACGGACAGACGGACAGACAGACATGGACAGGACAGACGGACAGACAGACTCTATCGACTCGGTTATTGACGCTGATCAAGAATATATATACTTTATGGGGTCGGAAACGTTTCCTTCTGTGCGTTACATACAACCGTTATTCACACATGTACAATATACCCTATTTACTCTTCGAGTACCGGGTATAAAAACTATAACCAATTGAATTATTATACGAAATTTAATGTATGTATGTTTATACATACGTATGTATATACGATGTATTTACGTACTATGGATGTATGTATTTACATATGTATGTAACCCCTTGTCACCTGATGGCAAATATAGAGACTTTAATGAGGATGAGGGGACCTGAATACTGTAAATATTAATAAAATTTTATAATGAGCAAACCGGTAACCGGCAACCTCACACACTTTTATCCACTCAAACATGTCCACGTTAATTTAATTCCGTAAGATACAACAGCCCATGGCGACTGTTTTGGTTTTTGTTACTTTTATTTGTTTTCAAATTGGTTTGCTTGATTGATACAAAATAAATGAAAAGTTCTCAGAGAATATTTTTAGTTACACGCACTGGCAAAGTTCTACTCTTCACATGTATCGACATTGAAATGGGGTCAATCGATTGCATTTCGAAGGCAGACTCCAACTCGAACTGTGACTCCAGCTCCAGCTACGCTGTACGGTTAGGCAATCGATTGGCCCCAAGTCAGGTTAAGGCGCTTAAGCTGTTTCTGTGGTTTAAGAAACATCACTTGAAGTATCAAGCACCAGGAACACACAAATCTGATTTCCACTTGAGAAGTCGCCCTTAGCCATTTCACCGTAACACCGAGCTTGCGGTGAAAACAAAAATCCGAGAGGCAGTGAGGAAAGGAGAAAAAGAAACCCCACCTGAAACGTGCAACAAATAATCTCTCTCTCCCTGTAGCTCGCAACACACAAGCAACATACAAAAGAAGTAGTAAATGCCTGCGAGCCATTTTGCCGTCTTTTTCTCTTAGCTTTCTTTCTTCCATCATCATCATCATCATCATCATCATCATCATCACCAGCACCAGTAAGCCATCATCCACAACTAAACGGATCGTACACAAATACATACATATGTTACACACGCGCACACCTGTGGTGTGTGTGTGTGTTGCCCGTTTTGGTAGCATTTTTCAAGAATTGCTAATTCTCAACAGTTCCCGAGGTTCGTTGAACTCATCATAAAGTCACACACACGCCACAACCACCACTACACAACACAAGAGGCACGCACAGACACACTTGGCTTAGCTTGCACCGCCTATGTATGCATGCATGTACATACATATGTATGTTCCTGGTGCTTCTTGGCCAGATGCGGAGAAAGCACGTGTGTATTTGTGTTTAAATGCACTGTCCAACGGAACGATCCAAAATGTGCGAGGGCAAGCGCATTAGTATGCAATTTTTTTAACTTTCTGCTTAATGATTCAATATTCTTATATGTACATACATACATACATAAGTATAAAGCGAAGCTCGATCAGTGGATTTGGTAGGCCAATGATGCCATCACCTAGAGATACCGTATAGTCTTCCCATCACCCCCTCATACACATACGAGATTCTAAATTTGTACATACATTCATACATACTCATATGTACATATGTACACATATTTATGTACACAGAAGTGTGCACGAGTCCATACGTGCCAATGCTTGCCTAAACATGTACATACATACATACATATGTATGTAATCAATGTTTTAGGATTCAAATATGTAAATACACACCTACGCACAGAAAAAGTAGTAAGCCTGAAAAGAAGACGCAAAGAGAGAGGGACAAGCCAGTGAAATAGTGAAGAATCTCATACATTTCCTCAAAATTAAACGCCGTCGACATTCCCTTTTTATACCCGGTACTCGAAGAGTAAATAGGGTATATTGATTTTTTGGGAAATAACGGTTGTATGTAAAGCACAGAAGGAAACGTTTCCGACCCCATAAAGTATAAAACTAAAAACATTCCGTAGGAAATGGCCATATCTATCAGATCACCAAATTGGGATCCGATTGGATCATTATTATAGCCACAATGGAGAAATTAATTTCCAGTGGCTAAACCCACCCTGTCCCGCAGCTTTTGTTGTTCTTTTTACATTCTCTCATTCACACTCTGCTTCTGCTTCACTCGGCCCCTGCCTCTGCCGTCCCCCAGCCACTGCCTCTGCCTCTGCCGACTTTTAACCCACCCCGTCCCGCAACTTATATTTGTTTTTTTTTTGTGTGCGGTCGCTGCCTCTGCCTCTGCCGCAAGTCTGAAGTTGTGGGTCTAGGGAAGGGCGGCGAGCTAAAGGAGCGTGTTGGTGTGAGAAGTGTTGTAGATGTAGATGACAGATGAAGAAAAAATTTAAAATTTGACAAAACACCGCTAAGGTGCAGATGTAGTACTGAGTGCTGGGTATAAAAGTTGTGACGCGTAAGAAGCGTCTCACACGTTCCTTCTCGTTATTTATTTATTTATTTGAAAATGATCTGGCTTAGAATATTAAAGTAAACTAGCCAATTTTTATGAACAAATGTGCTTTTAAAGTGTAAGTTCGGTCCAAAACTGAATGTGGCACATTTCGGATTACATCATCTGGCTTTAAATAAATTTAGGCCAAATATATTCTGAATGTTGGCTTTTTGTTCCACCCGACTTATTGCTGGCAAACAGAAAATAGCTGAGAACTTGTTCCCAAGATCAACAGGAGAGTTATTTGATGCACTGTGAGGGATTTTCATTGTTTATTTTAAATAACTTTGAATCCGTTTGCTATAATTTACACTAATCTTACGACTCACACCTTTTTTTAATTACAAATAGGAGGAAAAATACGTAGTTCTAAACTATGGCATGTCATGTCATGTCCTTATTAAGGCTGTCTGATAGTCGCACACCTTACTTTACCTTCCTTACCTTCACCTTACAGGGAATTTGCAAGTCCCATAAAATATTGACCCAACCGTTGATAACTTGAACACAATTTTCTTTCCTAATTGATTGTGGAGTACAGCAACAAGCATTTCAAGGGTACGCTGGAATTGCTGAGCGTTGTCGACGGTAAAATGTCTTCTGATAAGATTGACCACAAAAATATATACTGCATAGCCCATAGCCTCATCATGTCATAGAAAAGGCCACATTCAAGTCAGATCTAGCGAGAATGTATTTTTCAAATAAGTGGTATATATAAGTACATATGTACATACATACAAATATGTACATTTATACTACATATGTACATATATGTATATTTATATTTTGGAAAGCTATCTGCATCGCTAGTCTACTGTTGCGTTTTGGGGGATCCGTGTGATTTTGCTATACGTGGGTCGTCTGTACTATGTACATACATATGTACATATGTATGAAGTTAAGTTGTACTTTTGTTTTTTTTTTAATTATTCAGAAATTATATAAGCGTGCTATCGCCGTGCAACACGACTATGAATGACTTTTGCACATTTACTAATTGCCACCCCAACAATTTATTTGCTTGTGCTTTTACAGGAATCCTTGAAAATTGGCAGCGATCACGATATGCACGACTGGCTGTTCGATCGCGATGTCAAAGATCCCACCGTTATACTCAATGACAAGCTCATCTCGGATGCGCTACTCAATGGTACGCTGCCCATCAAAACCGAGCATTCCTATAGCCTTAACAGCGATGTTGATTCCCTGCCAAACTCCCCAAAAAGTCTGCAGGCCAAAATCGAGGGTAAGTACTTACTTTCTGATAAATAATTGTGGTCGATTGCGTGTTACTTATGGTATATTTGCGTAGCATATTGCATAGAGACGACTGCGTTTAAGCGTATTCTGCCAGATACATAGGCCCTAAACCCAATTCTTAAACAGCTTTCAGCTGGTTTATTAAGGCCATGCACAAACTGAAAACAACAACCATACGAATTTCTTTGACTAGAATAACAGTTGAAAATAGTTTATATTCTGTTTGGTGCTGTTCTTTGAATTATATTTGTATTTAGAGTCGCGGTAGAATTAAATAATTTAACGCAGTACTCGGGCATGAAACGAATATCAGTGGTACGGAGAACACAAAAAATGTAATTGTGTGAGTGTTTGTGTACAAGTAATGAGTATGAGAAAAAGTGTATATAATTGAGGTTGACTGCGGTCTGGTCTGGGACTAGTCTCTTTTCGACATTTTATCTGTAATTTTATAAAGACTGAACTGTACAACAACTGTCCAAATAAACTTAATACGGAAAGAAAGCTTTTTGCCAGAAAACAGAAAAACTGAAATAACAATATTTCAAATGCAAACACATGTGTGCATTGTGAGCATATCAGACGCGTGCCCCGGCCAGCCTTATTTTTCTTAAAGAAACGGTCTGATGTTTGAATAGTTACAGAATATTATTGAAATTGTTGCACAATATTTGTTAAATTGTGGAGTACGGAACAGAGTTCTCTATAGTCGTATATATGTATGTATAGTATGGAGAATATGTAGGTTAGACCATGTAGGTCTGGACTCAACAATTTTTACCCAAAATATTTTGAGCAAATATGAATGTACATATGATTTTGTGCATGTATGTTTTTACATACATACATATATACATAGTACTTATATCCCATGCAGTACGGGTTATCGATGTGAAATCGACAACACATCGATGCCAGTCGCATTTACCCATCTGACATAAGCGATGATTTCCTATTCAACAAAATGACGTAGTTAACATGGAGATGTCCTAAGAGCGTAGGTGATGTCGTGTCATCCATAGAAAACCGGCTTACAAGTGATGATAATCACGAAAAAGTCAGGCCTTATATTTGTTGAATTTTACTGAGATGGCATGTATAAGTTATGAATTTCACTGAAAAGTAGGAAAAAAATAGGAAAAAGGCTTGTGCAAATTAAGTATTCAAATATTTTATTTCCATTTATTTATTATATCGAAGAGTAAATAGTAGTGTATTTGTGTTCGGAGTTTTTATACCCGATAATCAGTACAACATCTGCCCCTTTGAGGTTTTTATCAAACCCCTTTATGAGGTCGGAAACGTTTCCTTCTGTGCGTTACATACAACCGTTATTCGCACAAATACAATATACTTTATTTACTCTTCGAGTATCGGGTATAAAAAGTGTTTGGTTTGACCGACGCGTTGACTTGGTGTTCCGCTCGGCTAATTTTCTTCGGACCCAAAGAAGCCAACAACTATGGACCAATTCTGGCATAGTTAAAGCTTGAATCTATTTTGGGAAAATAACAGCAACATCTAATCTGATTAAACCCGGGATAGTCCCCTGCAAGAGCTTGATTTAAATATATCGTTTATTTTCCCCTTTCCAACAGACATGGATGACGAATGTTTCCCCGCAATTTCACTGAAGTCGGCCACCAGTGTGCGGGCTACCATCGATCCCAAATGCCTGACCCTTCATCCGCAATCGCACACACCCGCCACACACAGCAGCCGACTAAGCTGCAATCCCGCCCGGAGCACAGAGCTGAGCACAGCCACAGCGACTTTGACTCGGGCCGGCCTCCATACGCACTCGCATCACCTGCAGACCGGGAGTAACAGTAACAGCTCCAGTCACGTGGTCGCTACCATGGAGCCCTATCAACTACCTCACTTGTACGACAATGACTGCAGCTCGTCGTTGTCGTCGATTCGATCTGGAAGCATTTCGCCGGACTTATGCTCCGACATTGAGATTGACGAGTCGGCAATCAAAGATGAGCCTATGTCGCCCGACTCCAGCTGCCCCGCTAGTCCCAACTCACAGGGGAGCAGCAGCTCCCATCAGAACCAGATGACCCACAATCTGGCTCATCTACAGACGGAAATGCTCTTTGAGCAGAAGGTAGGCTACTCCTAAAAAATGAGGATGCAGTTCAACTGTACTCAATGTGTCTTACCACTGAATAGCACGGCGAACTCTTGCTGGCCAGCAGCACCAACAATCACCTCATTAAGTCCCAGCAGAGTAACCAGCACACGCTTCTGGGACAGGGCGATCTGATAATGGCCAAAATGGAGATCAAGAGTGAAAAACAAAACACCAGCAACAGCAGCACCACTAGCAGCAGCTCGGGCAAGTCACATGCTTACGGCATTCCCTTGACTCCGCCATCATCTCTTCCCAGCGACGATTCCGAAGGTAACTTGACACCGGAACATTTGTTTTCGCCACTGTCGCCCAACGCTTCCGTTTCTATATCCGTGGCCAATGCAGCCAATGGTGAGACTTCGACCATGGTGCGACGAAACGTTACCGGCATCACGCGCTCTGCCAGCTGCGGCGGTTCCGGCTCCAGCTCCAGCAACAGCACCACCACAACAAGGCAGCCCATACACACGCCTCTGATAAGCTCACAGCCGGTACGTTCGACCAGCTCCCGATATTTAGCAATAGCACTAATCAAATCCTTGGACTTGCAGAAGGGCTCTACAGGCACGCTACTGCTGACAGAGGAGGAGAAACGTACCTTGCTCGCCGAGGGTTATCCGATTCCACAGAAGCTCCCTCTAACAAAAGCCGAAGAGAAATCGCTAAAAAAGATTCGACGAAAAATTAAAAATAAAGTAAGGCGTACATTAAAAATATCAAACTAGAACTATAACTATAATGTGAATTACACTCCCTTTCATAGATATCTGCTCAGGAAAGTCGTCGAAAGAAGAAGGAATATATGGACCAGCTAGAGAGGCGCGTGGAAATTCTTGTCACTGAGAATCACGACTACAAAAAGCGCCTCGAGTCGCTGGAAGAGACCAATGCCCATCTACTTAGTCAGCTGCACAAATTGCAAGCCCTAGTTAGCAAGCACAATGTAAAAAAGACCTAAGCCAGGGACCCAGGACGTGTGCCGGTTCCTTTTCTTGTTTGCCCGCCTTCCCGAAATACCTAAACCTATAACTACATACATACATATATATGTAGAATACTATATTTTTTGTTCAGCCTATTATTTAAATTGACGTAAGAAATTGTGTCCGTTTCCCTCCTACTCTGCGAGTTCTAATACTCCTACAGCCACTCTTGCAGCCCTCTTCCCATCTATATTCAAGCGATTTTGCACCCAGATGCCCTAACTAAAACCATATCATTTGTATGTATAGATGTGTGCCCTAGCTACTCGTAGAACGTTTCGTATACATAGATATGTAAATTAGTCATGCATTCCTGTTATATACATTTTACCTAGATTGTAGACACTTACCAACTCCAACTGCGACCACAACAGAAACGATGTCGATCATTAGAGAAGCTAACTAACATTATTGTACACGTAATTGAACGAAATCAAGAGACCAAAAAAACAAAAGAGAAATGTAAAGAAAATCTACAAAAAATCGGATATGGCAAGCTTAGATGTGGGCTCTGTTCGATCTGATCTGATATAATTTAACTTAATCCACATAAGAGCAGCGATATACATATGCATACATTATGTTTAAGTAATGATTGATAACAATGAATGAACGGAAGACTGTTGAAGCTGCATCTCTGTATTGTCTTTGCCACGACTCTTGTTCCTTAAAACGTAATTTTTCAAGCTACTAAATGTTTCGAAAGTGTATACATAAATAATTCCATAATGAAGGTAAATAGCATAATTTCATAACGAAGTACATATGCATATATGCAACATTTTAGAACCAGCAACCGCAATGAAGCGCACCAATGCATAGTAAGAATCTTGAGATGGTTCTCTAAGGCGTTAAACAATTTCCGAGCCAATTATGAAAATGAATTTTTGTTTGTTAAGTTTAATATTATAAGAGCTCAAAAGTCCGAAGGCAACCCCCAAGGTAATCAATGTTTTACCAACTTGTTTTTAAATTACTTTTTAGTGCAGTTTTTTTGCATAACTAGTAATGCTGATGTTTCGCGCTCTTCCCATGGCGTTAAAAAATGAGTCATTCTAGTTTAAATTAGTTTCAATTATCTTTAAAAAATACTTAAGCGAAGTTTTAAGCGTAACCCGATGATTTCTTATTATACGAGTATGTACTAACTACACAAAATATTTGTGCGTGTAAAGATTACACTGTAAACCAAGCGGAGTTGTGCAATTGTTAGTAAAATTATACAACAAAGAAAAACCTTATAGATAATTATTGAGACATTGTCGAAGTTGACATAGAAAATGCTTGTGCAATGACAAAAACTTTACTATAACGAGAAGGGACGTGTGAGACGCTTCTAACGCGTCACAACTTTTATACCCGGCACTCAGTACTACATGTGCACCTTAGCTGTTTTGTCAAATTTTAAATATTTTCTTCATCTGTCATCTACATCTACAACACTTCTCACGCCAACACGCTCCGTTAGCTCGACGCCCTTCCCTAGAAGGGTAGGTGGGTTAAAAGTCGGAAGAGGCATCTGCAGGGGGAGGGCAAAGGCAGGGGCAGAGTGAAGCCGAAGCAGAGTGTGAATGAGAGAATGTAAAAAGAACAACAAAAGCTGCGGGACAGCCACTGCAAATTAATTTCTTCATTGTGGCTATAATAATGATCCAATCGGATCCCAATTTGGTGATCTGATAGATATGGACGTAGGGAATACGCAATGGCGTTTTAGTTTAGTTTTCTTTTATCTTCAAAATTGTAGATTTGGGAGGTTTTCGCCCTTTTGCGGGGGCGGAAGAGGGGGTGGCTCATTTTTGAAATACACTTGCAACAGTGTGAGCATACAGAATTCAGTCTGGATGCAAAATTTGGTGGCTCTAGCTTTTATGGTCTCTGAGATCCAGGCGCTCAACAAGACGGACGGACAGACAGACATGGCTCAATCGACTCGGTTATTGATGCTGATCAAGAATATATATACTTTATGGGGTCGGAAACGTTTCCTTCTGTGTGTTACATACATTCACTTTGTGCACAATTACAATATACCCTATTTACTCTTCGAGTACCGGGTATAAAAAAACTGAATACAAATAAAATCAAAGAAGATGCAATAAAAGAAGTCCACACGAGAACAGCATTTCTTAAAGAACATTTTTCTTAACGAAAAATGTAAATTACAAATATAAATAGGATTCAAACGAAAACCAGAAAATATCCACAAAAAAATTGTACAACTTTTATGAATTGGTGTGTTTTAATAAAAAAATGCAATTTAAAATAAATTGCACAACTATAAGAACAGCACCGATATGCGAAACTCATTTTCTTTTTTGACCACTAATCTGTTCAGGACTCCCGAAACGGGCTCTGCCATTTTTATTAAATTGATATCTAATTTTTATGAAATTCTGCAAAAGGCATTTATAGCACAACAAAAGGGGGACGAACGTTTTCTAAAGGTAGGTGAACCACAAATGCGATTAAAGAAAATACAAGATATATGAAAACCGTGTACACATCCAAACTGTGTTGATTGAAATAGTTGGCAGCTTCTCACCAATTTAAAAACTTACAGACTGGAATATACTTGAAAAGATTGGAATGTGAGCAATTAAGCCACATGACGCAAAAGCAAAGTAAACCCTTCCTTAATCTGATTTAAAATCGGTGGATTACATGGTATTAGCGTGATTAAGAATTTTTTATGTACTCTGCGTTTGTTGTGGAATCGATCATGGAAGCCTTTTACTGGGGGTTCATGGTTCATTTGTTCAGTTTCTTTGACATGTTTTCTTACATTCTACTCTTTATAAAGCTTGTTTTTCCTCAGCGCTCGGTCTTACTTTAGTATACTTTGCTAATTTTTCCCAATCTTTCCAAACGCTCTGTTACCCCAATTGGAACTGCGCTTATAAAATAAATTTGATTTAATTTGTATTTATATATTTAATATAAATATCGAATACGGTGTTGTCTGTTCCGTTAAAACCTGCAAGAAGCAGATCACCCACGACCAGCCGAGCATCCCTTGCTGGCTCTGCGATAACGTAGGGCACGCAAAATGTATTAGGTTCTCTGGCCTCGTGGGTGACGCTTGTCGAGGCATGTCGGTCTGTCGAGAATGACATAGTCACATTTATGAGGCAGACGCGAAAGGGCTTTAAGGAGCTGACCGTGGGCTTTAAAAAGTAGTACGATCGGCTTCTAGCCATGGAGTCTCAATTCAGCGGCTTTAAACTCCTAGGCGCAAAAAAGTCAGTCCTCGGGATCTGCAAGTGCCTGTCCCTCGACCGCTCGCTGCTGATCAACCGTCCCCATCCATTTCGATAGTTCAGCAGCTAATTTCGTTTTCCACTCCAAAAGCAACGACAGCTGCTGGTGATCCAGATTTGGCTACCGACTTACGACTGTGGCGTCCGTTTTCGTCGAGTCCGTTTCTAAGCCATTATGTATCGCAGCATATTTTTGTCTCTCGGATTGCCCCTGACACATTTAACAAAGCCGATGGATTAAAGGTGGAAAAGTTTAATTTTTCTTAAGCCAGGGAGATAGCTTCTTTCAAGATTAACGTATCGCCGACTCATTTCGAGACCAATTGCTCTTCCAAATTTTGGCCAGAGCACCTGGTTTTGAAAGAGTTTAAGGCCAAGAAGAAAAATAGGCCCCCATAGCTCTTCCTAGTAGTGAGGCAAGTGCTCCTTCCTCCTCTGCTCCATCCACCTTGTAGCCTATAAAAATGCTCGCGGCTTTCGTAGTAAGCTGAGCACTCTTTTTATGGATAGTTTCACATTTTCATCCCACGTTATTGTGTTTACCGAAACCTGGTTAGAGCCGAACATTCTTAGAGCCGAAGCTTTGGCAGATCGGTACACAATTTATAGAAATGATCGTTCGTCTGGAGTGGAGAAGGGGTTCTGATTGCAGTGGACTCTCACTTCACGTCAGAGCATTTCACAGTCCAGGTTTCAGAAGACCAGGATTCTTCCTGGCCATTCTATTTATGTCTTTATGTCACTTGATCGTATATTCCACCGACTTCGGATGTCTTAATATACAAGCAGCACTTTTCCGCCTTAAAAACTGGTTCTTCCTCGCTATCTGATAAAGACCATAGTTCCACTATTCAACACTATTCACTCTATCCATCTGGAAAGAACCCTTTATAATTCCTCTCCATAATAAAGGTAGCCAGTTTGACGCAAAAAACTACAGAGGTATGTATATCAAAGTTATCCGCTATTCCTAAAATGCTTGAGAAAATTATAACTTCGCACTTGCAACATCTCTGCAAATCACTTATACCTCCAGCTCAGAACGGATTTATACGGCGGCGATCAAAAACCACTAATCTTTTAGAGTTCACCTTCTTTGTCATTAAAGGCTTCCAAGGTAACTTGCTGTCGGATGTTATTTACACTGATTTCAGTAAGGCATTCGATTCTGTAAACCATTCTCTTCTTGCACAAAAGCTCGACCTTAAGGTTTCCTCCCAATCTTTTGAGATGGATTTCTAGGTTTCTAGGTCTCAAAGATTCCTCTTCAAAAACTCCTTACCTTTAGCTGTTATGGTTACTTCTGGAGTACCACAGGGTGGCCATTTTGGCCCCTTACTTTTCACACTCTTTATTAATGACCTGCTTTGTATTAAAAAATTCTCGAGTACTTAGGTATGCAGATGATGTTAAGCTCGGCGTCCAGTATAAGGACATTTCATTTCACTCTCGCTTGCAATCAGATCTCAATAACTTTCAGTCATGGTGTTGTGTAAATATGTCACACCTTAATGCCGCGAAATGCAAAGTAATGACTTTTCATCGCTCCACCCCTTAGTGGCTCCTTACGCCCTCTGCGGTAGTTCTCTTGAGAGAATTACATTGCTTGATGATCTTGTTGTTAAACTAGACCCCAAGTTTAGTTTTTCTGAACACATTTCTACAATGGTAAATAAAGCCATGGGTGGCTTGGATTTATAAAGAGGTGGTCAACGGAATTAGATGACGAAGACTATCTATATCTCGCTTGTTCGTCCGATTTTAGAATACGGCTTATGTGTATGGTGCCCTCAGTACAACATAGTACGTCAGTGCAGAAAAACTTTTTACTTTTTTCCCTGCGTGGCCTCAACTGGGATGCAACTGTGAGACTGCCACCCTACCGTAGTAGACTACTTCTAATAAACCTTCCATACTTAGTTAGTCGTAGAAAAATGCTTGGTGTAATTTGTACGCACAACTTGATCAAGGGGGATGTAGACAGCTCTGACTTGTTGAGCCGCATAAACTTTAAGATTCCCATTAGACCCACTTCAAACTTTATTCCTTTATTTCTTCCACTTTGTAGATCGAATTATGCCTTACACGAATCGTTTACGGTTTTATGCTCGGATTATAATTCCCTCTATCACATGATATCCTCCACTAACTCCCTTCCGCTTAGCAGCTCTCGCTCTCACTTTCTGCGCTCTCGCTCTCTCTCTCTCTCTCGCTTTCCTGGCGCTCGGGAGCATAAAGCAACTATATAAGCATAAAGCAACTAAATAAGGTCTCGTCGGAAAAAATTAGGCAAACGTGCTAGTAAAAAGTGCAAGTGAAAGGGCTCTCGCTGTAAGTGTGAGGGCAACGATAATGGAGTGTGCTGATTAATCATTTAAAAGCAATGTGAAAAAAACATAATAATTGTTACATAATTTAGTTTTTAATAGTTTGCTTAATGAAAGTAGTCAGTGTCCGCAATCGTCCGCAACCAACCTTCCGCGTCGACAAGCAAACGTGCACTGAGAATTGTGAAAAGCAGCGAGTAACTCTGCCACCGACGAGGCCTCCTTATATAGTTGCTTTATGCCCCGGACATACCAGATAACATTACATTCTACATACACATGCAATTACATACATTCATATTCTACAACCGCGCCGCGCTTGAGACAGGGAATAAATCATCAGTATTTATACAACGAGAAGGGGCGTGTGAGACGCTTCTTAAGCGTCACAACTTTTATACCCGGTACTCAGAAAACCATATGTAACTTAAGTGTTACCTTAAATTTTAATTTTTTTCTATATCTTTCAGCAACATCTACATCCACGTCTACATGTGCAAAAACAAATAAAAGATGCGGGACGGGGTGGGTTTAGCCACTGCAAATTAATTTCTGCACTCTGGCTATAATAATGATCCAATTTGGTGAACTGGTAGATATGGTTCTTCCCTACGGAATGTTTAGTTTTCTTTTATCTTCAAAATTGTAGCCTTGGGATGTTTTCGCCTTTGGTGGCGGGACTCATTTTTGAAATACACTTGTAACAGTGTGAGCATACAGAAGTC